TTTTTGAATATTTAATTTTTCCCATAGACTTTGTACACAGAAATTAAAAAAATAATTGTCGATTTTCAAAGGGCATTTTTGACTCTTTGCCAGTAATTCATTAACACCAATCTTTGTCCAAGCAAAGACCCTAATTCAAACAACAGTGTGGAATGATGACGTCATGATGACGTCATCCTGTGTTTATTTATAGGCAATTAAATTGTGACACTTTTAATATTTAAAAATGCATAAGAAATCAACCGTACGCGTCCGCAGCATTCTGTTGCCGGCAAGTGGTAGAGCAGGTTAAGGTCTTCATTTCATTTAGTGTGCGTGCAATAGCGTGACCCTTGCTTCCGGTCGAAAAAGGCCCAAACCGGAAGTGGCTTATTATTTGAAAGTGGTAATAGATATGAACTTGCTTTTAACAGTGTTAGTCTCTTGGCCGATAGAATTCTTCAAATCATCTACCGATGACGTCATGCAATCTTCGAGCGCCCTCTACCGACAGGTTGAAAATTAGCAAAAATGTATTTTCAATAGATGTCTGTGGCGAAGTTTGTCGGAATCGCCTAAATATTGGTGTATATAATGACCTTGACCCACTTAAGACGTGTGGGAAGTTTTAGGCAAATGACGTCATCAGACCAGAAGTTATAATAAAAAGACCCTTTTTCATTTGAAAATTCCTGAAAAATCAACCATGGCAGTTTTTATATTTGTTTTTACTTTAATTGTCGATTGAAGGGTAGGTCTAAAACATTTCAAAGTTTCGAGGCGATAAGCGAACTCGAACAAACCCTGCGCACGCCTAAAACTTCACGTTGACAATACCTCTGCTTCAAAAGATGCACAGGACAGGACGTCCACAATGTACATGTACATGTACATGCACGTACGTTGTACATAGGCACATACATCGTATGTCAGTCAGCCTGCAGCGCACGTGTTGCTGAGGTCAAATCCTGTCCACAGTGACCGTTTTAGCCGATTTTCGGCTAACTTTGACAGATTTTCTGAACTTCGGCTGAGAATTACTATGAGAAGGAAAAAGAAATCGTATTTTTTTACGCCTGTCATTTGATTGACAATATTCCCAAGAGTTAGAATAGCAAGTAATATTTTATAAGAATGTTTCAGTTTAAAGGAAAATCACTAATTTAAAGGTGCAGTTTTTCTGCTGTGGGATTTTTAACCTATTAACGTTTTCAAGCCACCATTTTCATAACTTGGCGATCTGGAATCGTCATCAAAGTTACAGCCAAGAAAGACCCTCATACAAAAATTATGCCAAGACTAAGACATCATGATGACGTCATCATCAAATGATTTATTATGGATTCATGAATAATTAATTTTTCTCATAGACTTTGTACACAGCTTTCTCCACAAGTCTTTCCCTATACAACACTGATATATCTTACTGAGTAGTTCTGAACTTCGGCTGAGAATTACTATGAGAAGGAAAAAGAAATCGTATTTTTTTTCGCCTGTCATTTGATTGAAAATATTCCCAAGAGTCAGAATATCAAGTAATATTTGATAAAAAAGTTTCAGTTTAAAGGCAAATCACGTATATAAAGGTGCAGTTTTTCTGCTGTTGGATTTTTAACCCATTGACTTTTATGTGTACACGTTTTCAAGCCACCATTTTTATAACTTGGCGATCTGGAATCGTCATCAAAGTTACAGCCAAGGAAGACCCTCATACAAAAATTATGCCTAGACTATGACGTCACGATGACGTCATCACCTAATTTTTTTTATTGATTTTTGAAAATTTACGTACATATTGTGAAGTCTTATATCTACAGAAATGTAAGTCCGATTGGGTTGAAACTTGGTATGTGGCTATACCAGGATGTGTTATAGATTAAAAATGAGGTGACGTCATGATGTCGTCATCCTGAGATTTTATATGAATATTTATTTGTTTGGACCTTTTAGCCATATCTCCCGAACGCAACATGCAAAATGCAAAATTCTTTTGACAGATTTGATGTTCATGAATATTCAGGGCATATTATTGATTAAAAAAAATCATAATGCGGAAAAGCCCTATGTTCTGTTGCAAACAGACATTGAGCTCTAGTTTCTTTTTCCACTTTTTCCCATAGGTTTTGTACACGTTTTTATTCTACAAGCCACTTTGGCAATTATTTTAAATCCGATCAACTTTAAACTCAGCATAGTTATTAACCATCATCTGAGGATGTGTGCCGAAACTTTTCGTCATGCTGACGTCATCACGTGATTTATTATAGAATTTTGAATATTTCATTTTTCCCATAGACTTTGTACACAGAAATTTAAAAAAAAATGTCAATTTTCAGAGGGCATTTTCGACTCTTTGCCAGTAATTCATTTACACCAATCTTTGTCCAAGCAAAGACCCTAGTTCAAACAACATTGTGTAATGATGACGTCATGATGACGTCATCCGGTGTTTATTTATAGGCAATTAAATTGTGACACTTTTAATATTAAAAAATGCATAAGAAATCAACCGTACGCGTCCGCAGCATTCTGTTGCCGGCAAGTGGTAGAGTAGGTTGAGGTCTTTATTTCATTCAGTGTGCGTGAAATCACGTGACCCTTGTTTCCGGTCGATAAAGGCCAAAACCGGAAGTGGCTTATTATTTGAAAGTGGTAATAGATATGAACTTGCTTTAAACGGTGTTAGTCTCTTGGCTGATAGTATTCTTCAAATCATCTACCGATGACGTCATGCAATCTTCGAGCGCCCTCTAGCGACAGGTTGAAAATTTTCAAAAATGTATTTTGAATAGATGTCTGTGGCGAAGTTTGTCGGAATGGCCTAAATATTGGTGTATATGATGACCTTGACCCACTTAAGACGTGTGCGAAGTTTAAGGTGTATGACGTCATCAGACCGGAAGTCATGAATATTTAATGAGACACTCTTTACAGTCTTATAACTATGGAACTATTTGACCGATTGATCTCAAATTTAGTAGGTATACAGACAGGGATGTGTTATAGATGAAAATTGATATGTCAAGGTCATGTGACCTTCACTTCCGTTTTTACCGGAAGTGGTAATTTTAGACCCCTAAATCATATTTCATGAATTATTACTCTGATAAGGTTGAAACTTCACATTAATACAAAGCTATATTGACAGATAATTTTCTTGCATTATTATTACTGTGCACTTAATTATTGTCATGTCATGACGTCATGAATATTTAATGAGACAATCTTTACAGTCCTATAACTATAGAACTATTTGACCGATTGATCTCAAACCTGGCAGGTATACAGACAGGGAAGTGTTATAGATAAAAATTGAAATGTCAAGGTCATGTGACCTTCACCTCCGGTTTTACCGGAAGTGGTAATTTTAGACCCTTATATCATATTTCATGAATTATTAATCTGATCAGGTTGAAATTTCACATTAATACAAAGCTATATTGACAGATAATTAAATTGAATTATTATTACTGTGCGCATAATTATTGTTATGCTATGACGTCATGAATATTTAAAAGGTTGTACCGGAAGTGGAATCTTTAAAAGTAATAATTTCAATTTATTACTTTCATTTTTTGTTAATCATTAAATCATTTTGTTTACGGTCCAATAGAGAATCAAAACTGGGAACAGCTCTGTGGTTGTTCACAACCACAACCTCTAGTTGTAATTTGTATTTGTTGCAACGATCGACGTTCATTATCACGTACAGTCTAGCTGTACTGTACGTGATAATGAACATCGAAGAATAAAACACAAGCCTCCAATCATGGTGGTGTGTACATGTACATGTACACGACGTGCACTACGCGGTCGATGTTACTTCTCAAACGCCACAGGTCGAACGCTGCATCACCAGAAATATCCGAAGGAAAATGGGTTTCGTATCTTACGAGGGCACCGTGCGAGGCTGGTTTAGACTTGATTAAGTCATTCAGTGGCTTAGCGTTATAATTTAGCCTGGAAGTGTTTCGTTATAATAAAGTTTGTTGTGTGTTTTTCTTTATTACGTACAGGCTGATTACAATTTTGGAATGTTTTACGTGTCCTTTTTGCCAAATTTATCGTGCTCTAATTTGTATATATAGTTACGTCTGAATTAAGTGCATATTATCAATATTTCATGCAATTTATATGGAGGTATACAGTTCAGAAAATTTCCGGCAAAGTAGTGCTTACCAAAATAATTCTCAAGCGTTCGAACCGGGTCCTTCTTAAGTGGTTTATTGTTCACATTTTTCATGTATTTCTGTTGAGTTATAACGAATAAGTCGACCTGTGTTTGGC